CAGATTAAAATTCGTCGTAAAAAGGGGAAGATTTTATAAAATGGAAGAACAGCGCGTTCTTGTGCTCTCGTGACCATCGCCGAAACGAAGTCTTTTTTTTTGCTTCTCCTAAAAAAGAAAAAAGATACTTTTTTTTTTATCGCTGTTCCACGATGCGCGTTCTCCACTCGTCGATTCTTCTCGTTCTCTGCCTGTTTCTCCACGTTTCTGTTCAAGAATGGCAGATTCAACCCAAGGAGGCCGACAATGAGATTCAGGAACGAATAAAGTTTTCCAAGTACACAATTTTTCCACGTAAGTGCGACATGGAATGTTAATTATTTGTCTACGAATTTTTTCATTAATTATATTTTCTTTCATTCTCTTCGAATGGTGGCAGGTACGAAATGGTGCGGACCAGGTAACAAAGCGAAAAATCCCAACGATTTGGGATACTTTAACATAACCGACGCCTGCTGCAGAGAGCACGATTTCTGTCCCGATAGCATCAAGGCTTTCAGAAGTAAACACAACCTGTGGAATTCAAGCATATTCCTCAGGTTCTCTTTTTTTTTTTCTCTTCTTTTAATTTAATTCACATATTTTCCCCTACTCTTCTTCAACTTCCTTTTAACTTCCTAAATGTTTTCTTCAAAGCATCGGGCAAATTCTTTTTCTCTATCTGTTTTCTATGATCTTCTCGATTCTTTGAATTAGTTTTTTTCTCTTTTTTTCTCCTCGCGCAGAATTATTGGCAATTTTCTATGATGGAACGTGGATCGAATAACTTCAATTTTTCGCAATGATCACGAATGATCATTCTTTCGTGAATCATTGATTCGTGAATTAATGTAATTTCTATGCGATTTCTTTTATTTTTCTTCGATCAGAGTGATTCGTTCCTACATTTCTTCGTTCGAAGAATATTATACAGAGAGGATTTCCGATTAGATTAGAATCGAATCACACGCTTAAGAATCTCAATTCTAAGATATTTATCTTAGTGAATTCACGAATCATCGAGGGATTTTTAATATTTTGGAAGGAGTTAAACGAGAAAATTTAATTCGAACAGGTCAAAATGTTCCTGTGACAATAAGTTCTACAAGTGTCTGAAGAATTCGACAGACGAAATTGCTTCCGTTATAGGTAATATTTATTTCAACGACATAATAAATCCAAAGTGCTTCGAACTTGAACATCCTATCACCGGTTGCAAAACGTACGAGTAAGTTGATTAATATTTATTATACGGATGGAATTTTCGAATTTAAAACTTTAAAATTTATTCTTTTTTTTAACAATTTTTTCGTAGAAAGGGACGTTGCGTCGAATATATTCTGGACAAGAAAAAGCCGAAGATTTACCAATGGTTCGATCTTCCTAACTTTTGATTATATAAATTAAGTGCTTGATTAACTGATTATTATTTTTCATTGGATTGAATAATCGTAACATTTCACTTTGGAAATAAATTTCAATCTATCAAATTTGTCCAATATATCTATGAAAGTGAAAGAAATTTTTCTATTTACGTCGAAATTTGTGTCTTATTTAAGCAGATATTAATCCTTTGAAAATTAAGATTAAAAATGCTATGAAATTCGAAGCTACTTCGAAGAAAGATTTTTCATTTCTTCTTCAAATCTATATATACATATAATTGAAGAATATTCTTGTTTATTATGTAAAATAAATTTAACATTTTTAACAATCATAGAATTATACTACGAGATTCCTAATTTTAATTTAACAATAAACAATCATCCGTTAAATTATAATAACATAATAAATTACACGGTAAGTAACGTTTAAATTCCAATTTTTCTTCTGTTGAAAAAGAAGAAGGAAGCAAGGATATCGAGAAATAATAAGAAATGCACGTTTACGCCCGGTATTTATTTTAACATTCAACTGACAACAATATATATATGTACAGTTTTACGTATACGTAATATCAGTGTATATATATTCATTATATTTATATATAATTATTGTAACATTAGCTACCGTCCCCCACACACCGTCCTTTTATATCTTATTCGTTATTGCGCAAGCTACATCGAAATTATGGTTGCCTTAGTTTCTTACGATGTGTCATTGATAAAACTCGCGATTAACGCGAATCATCGGTGAAATCTTCGCAATACGCTTCGATCTCTTTCCAATAAATACGCGAATCTTTTTTTTTTTTTTTTTTTTTTTTTTTTTTTTT